AATAATAACAATAATAATAATAATAGTTATAATTATTATTATCATTATCATTGATATTATTATTACTCTCATTATCATTATTATCATTATTATTAATATTATCAGAGTCATTTTCATTTTTTCATAATGATTATTACTATTATCATTAAAAAGGATGAAAACAATATTGATAATAATTACAATAATAATGATTATCGTTATAATAATAATGATAATAATAATAACAATTATAAAAATACTACTACTCTTACTGCTTCTACTCTTACTACTGCTAATAATAAAATAATAATAAGAACAATAATAACAATACTAATGAATAATAATGATGATGATAATAACAATGATAATAATATTAAAAATAATTATAATGATAATAATGATAATAATGATAATAGTAATAATAATAATTATATCAATAAAAATAATAATACTAATAATAGTAATAATAATAATAATAATAACAGCAACAACGACAATAATTATAATTATATTGATAATAATAACAATAACAATAGTAATAATAATGATAATAACAGCAACAACGATGATACGTAATATCAATAATTACTATTGTTATTATTATGTCATCAATATCATCTTTAACGTTAGTGTCATCATTTTATTCACTATCATTATTATAATCATTATGATTTCCATTATTTTCATCATTATGTGTAATTTATATATTGTAACGGTTTTATTACATTGTGCAGTGTGAAGTAAACTCAATTCCTTTTTAAAATATTTAGCATTACTTTGGAAGTCACAGATATTCCCTGAATCGAGCAATGGCAACCGACGTGAAAAGGTGCCTTGTTGACATGTGCCATTTTGGAGAAACTCGAGATGCAGTCTAACCCAAGATTTGCACTGACGCTCGACACGCACTCTCGTCTATATGCACTCGTTTCTTGCTTTCCATACTTTTTTCGTTCCTAATTATTCAGATGTGCGTAAACTGCTCTATTCACTGTTATCAATATACTGAATGCTCATGTGTGCATTTTTTTTTTACAAGGAATATTTGGTTTATGTGAAGAAAACCACCGCCGCGGTATAGTGGTAACGCGTGTGGCTGTGGCCCGGAGGGTCCGCAAGCGCACGGGTTCGATTCCCGGCTACGGTCCGAGGTTAGGAAGGGCATCCACTCGGGGCAACGGTCTGCACCTGGCAATTCCTGCCACAGAGGGGTGCAAGTCAGCACAACTCGGTGCCAGTCCCAAGCCTGGATAAAGGAGGAGGGTTGACGATAGGAAGGGCATCCAGTCATAAAACACTGCGCCAACCTAATCACGATGCGGACACAGATAGATAACGGATCCGCACCGGCAACCCCGCACAGGGAACAAGCCAGTAGAAGAAGTGAAGAAAACTAATAAAGTGTGAAGAGGGAGCTAGACTGGGATTAAACCTCAGAAAATAGGATACTATTTTATTATAATGCAGCTGCGACATGCATTGGCTTCTTTGTCTAAGGTCCAGGTTTATCCTGGGCGTGCTGTATCAATTTCATTATTATTTGTAATTAATAAAGTCATATTGTATTTTCCGGTTGCGTGAATCTCTCGTGTAGAGCACCAAATTCTCGAAATGGTACATAAATGTTCGTGTACCAATATGGGAAACATATTACATTTGTAGGGAGGCCTGTTCGCTCGAGCATATTCTTCGCTTGGCATTGCCTGTGCTGTAAGAGGGCTTGTTACTTGATGGTATAATGCTAACGTTGGAAAAAGTGCACGGTTAATATTCGCTTGGTTATAGTCAGCTTCTTGTCTCTAGACGATTTAGCAATAGGCTTTGTCAGAAATATGAGCAGCACTTTGAACTTGAATGCTATCATCTGCTTATGTCCCTACCTTACTAAAAATACTCGGTCATGTCATCCAGTGTCAGACGCAGACGCACTCGACCTCGTCATGCGGGCGCTGCATTATTATTATCATTTTTTTATTATTATTATTTGTTTTGCCTGGAGTAAAAATCACGGGTGTTTGTTACTTCTCATCATATATACATTCTCCTCTCTCTATCTTTCTTTCTTTCTCTCTCTCTTTCTCTCTCTCTCTCTCTCTCTCTCTCTATGTATATATATATATATATATATATATATATATATATATATATATATATATATATATATATATATATATATATATATATATATATATATATATATATATATATATATATATATATATATATACATATACATATATATATATATATATATATATATATATATATATATATATATATATATATATGTGTATATATGTATCTTCTTTAATGAAGATGACGGTAGTGAGTTCCGATGGAGGCAATCGTAACGGTGGTGGAGACGTGCTGTTCCCAGGAAAATCTGTCGTCGAGGGTGACACCGAGGATCTTGGCCCCGGAGGTTTTGCGGTTTCCGAAATTAGTGTAAATGTAATCCAGGAGACTTACGTGGTAATGAGATAATATAAGTCCGATATGCGAAGCTGAGCCTCGCCCGGGCTATGGGGGAGCCCGGCCTGTGCCGACTAAGGTCGACTCGTTAACAGTGTGTCAGCAGGTGCTGACTCGGGTGAGCTTAGTCCTTACCCACCGTGGTGCCCAGCCACAGCAGTGACCTCCAGGCGACAATTGCAACTTCTCGCGCCTGGGCGGGGCGCGAACCGCCGACCCCTCGGATGAGAGGCCGACACGTTACCATTGTACTAGCCCGGAGGCTGGTAGTGAGAGGTGGAAGCGGATTTTATGTAGTCGATCAAAGCTGGGGTGGAGGTCGGCGTAGGCCCACTCGGGCACGAAACTGTCGCGCAGGAAGCTGGGCATGGGGGTGATGGACACCGAACGGGGAAGGCGTCTTAGTTACAGTTATCACGTAAGAGGTTTTCCAATCTGGTGGTGTCTTTGCTTGTTGCAAGAAGGCACTGATGATGGGGGTAAACTGCTTGAAAAGTTCAGGCGCGAACTCCTTCAGAACAGGCCTAGGGATGTGACGGATCGTTTGGACTTGCTTCTCTGGATTTTTTGGCAGACTTAGTGCTCTCGAACTACCGGAGCAGTAGTCTGCATGGGGAGACGGTCGGGGAGCTGGGTGGTGTCGAGGTTGGGAGGTGTTGGTATATTGCGGCGAAATGTTTATTTACCTCGTTGGCAGTGTCATGGCTGAACAGGTGGTTGATGCCAGGTAACATTCACGCACTCACGCACACACACGCATGCATTCCCCCAAACAATACTAGGGCATCAAATGGAATTCCTCCTACTATGTTCGTCACAAAACCACCGGATACACTAAAGCTAACTTTCAACAATCGAGTAAGTTGACAAATGCGGTCAGCCAGGAGGAGCGATATGCAAATTATGCAATTGAATTTAGGATGTATTTTTTTGTGAATCATTGGATCACCAGTTTTATCTTAATTTTAAATAATGCTGGTGACGTATCTTACTTTTGCAGAAATAATTTAGCAGAAAATGCTTTAACCAATGTACCGTGTATTCTAAAAAATAAAAGAATAAAACAAATATCGACATTGATCCCAAATACTTTCTGATTCAGAATTATCAGATCCCACTTAGCAATCTAAATGGGGAGAATTTCAAATTGAATACCAAGCCTGCAATACATCCCTCCCTCTCTCTCTCTCTCTCTCTCTCTCTCTCTCTCTCTCTCTCTCTCTCTCTCTCTCTCTCTCTATATATATATATATATATATATATATATATATATATGTATGTATATATATATATATATATATATATATATATATATATATATATATATATATATATATATGTACATATACATATATATATATATATATATATATATATATATATATATATATATATATATATATATATATATACATATATATACACATTTATATATATATATATATATATATATATATATATATATATATATGTATATATATATATATATATATACATATATATATACCTGTGTATGGTTGTTTGTTTGTGTGTGTGTGTGTGTGTGTGTGTGTGTGTGTGTGTGTGTGTGTGTGTGTGTGTGTGTGTGTGTGTGTGTGTGTGTGTGTGTGTTTGTGTGTGTGTATGTGCGTGTACATAAATATATTGATATATACATAAATGTATGTATGTGTATGACTATATACTAACCATACCAATAAAGCCTTCACATAAATCAAATTACAATTCAACGATGTCAACATTCGTATGTGCCGCCTGCAAATGCGTAAATAGTCCGAACACATTTTCCAATTATTTTCCAAATATTACAAGTAACACTTGTTTCCGAAGAGATTACTTTCGACTTCGCCAGCCGTTGGTCTCAATCTCTTAGTCACAAACCCTGTAGATTATCGCGGAGCAATGATTTATAACGAATTATCACCCTGGCACTAAAACAAAACCCTTTTAAATACATAAAGAAATCTTATTAAGGATGTATTGACATCACTGGTAATACTGCATTATATCTGCCATGTATATATGCTTACGTAACCTGCATATTCAATAAAAAATAATTGTCTAGCCTCATGTTTTAATATTATTGTTATCATTGTGTATCAAAATACTAATAATACCACACTGCAATTTTCTTATGTATTCTTTTTTATCTGTGTAATCACATGTTATCTTTGATATAAGATGAATATGGAAATACCTCACAATTTAAAATGATTACTACTATATTAGTATTCTCTAATTATAAAGTCCTTTGTTTAATCATGTGTTCATAAATGTTTATTAGGCTTGTCCTGTTACCGTGCAAAACATTCCATTTAGTATATTGATAAGTGTATGTATAATCTGTATCTTATATTGTGTTGCCTTAGCTGTATTACATTGTATAACTATTGATAGTTTTTTTCAGTCAAGTGTACTTTTTGTTTTTAGCTTTTACGCTTCATCCGATAACGAAAAATCTCTGTCCTTTTCGTGCTACTTTGTAAATGACAAGAAGTGCAAAAAAGTTCATGACCAAATCAAATAGTTTCACCTTCCATGCCCATTACCTCAGCTCCAGTCCGAGCAGTTCTCCGAGGCAGGGATTCCAGTGATTGCGGCGACGAACGACCTTGCTGTTATTGCTCGCCTTCAGAGCCGCTTCAGCCAGATCGGAGAATGAGTCAGGCGGCGTCGCCGGCGTCCCGGTCCTCTTCTCGCGCCCACTGTCGGCTCCTGCGCCCGCGAGAGCGCCGGGGGCGGGCGGGGGAGGGGGGGCAGAGTCATCGCTCACGACTCCGACCTGGGCGGACGCGGCGGCACTCAGGGACGCCTCGCGGGACGCGTTGCTCGTCTTCTGTAGATGGCGCTGCCTGAAGGCGTAGTGGACGCGGGCGTGGGCGGGGGTACGTGTGCGGCTGGGTGCAGTGAGGCTGGTTTCCGCCTCCAGCACCACGATCATCGTCAGCATCACGAGCCCTGCCATAACCGAAATCAAGACACGCTCCTTGAGCTTCATCTTGCAACGGAGAGGGAAAAGGCGGGAAGAGGACAAAGGAAAGTGGTTTGGGCGGGAAACACTTCTAGAGCCGAATCACCATCGTTAGTCAGCAATGCCTCTGAATGAATCATCTTCAGAAACGAGAGATCACTTTACACGAAACACATAGTCGAAGAAATAAGGCTGGAATTTGGAAAGTAAGAACACACTCCACATGCTTCCTTTCAATAACCAGTGTTGTTCGTCCCGGTAGTTGTGGCTTCGTCTCGTGCAGTTTGTTTCACATTACCGCAGTCTGGAAGAAAGGAAACTCAAGTTAAAATTAGGTTTGGATATCAGGATTTACTAACAAAGATTTTGCCTATTAAAACATTTGAGTTTTTCCTCTTGTTTTCTCTCATTGTAGTGTTTCTATCATTCGTTCCTCCTATATATCAATGAGTATTATCATTTTAATCGTCATCGTCATTTCTGTCATTACAATCGTTATTACGATAATTGCTATCATTTTTATTATTATAATAACTATTATCATTATCATTATCATTATCATCATTATCATTATCACCATTATCATTATCACCATTATCATACTTGTTAATATCATTATTGTTATAATTTTATTGTTAATGTTATTGTTATTATTAATATTGTTATTGTTCCTGTAGCTGTTGTTGTACTAATATCAATCATTATTGTTACTGTTGTTATTGTTATTATCATTATGATTATTAAAACTTATCTTTAGATTATTATTATCATTATTATTATTATTATTATTATTATCATCATTATCATCATCATTAGCATTATTATTATCATCATCATTATTATTATCATTTTACTACTACTAATACTTCTATTATCATAAGTATAAGTACTGTTAGCATTGCTATTATTTTTTATTATCATTATTATCATTAGGATTAGCATCATTATCATTATATACTTTCATTACTTGTATACTTTATCTTAATTATTATCATGATTATTATTATCATTACTTTACAATCACCACTGTTACCATTATAATGACTATTATTACTGCATCTTATTACTATTATAATCAATACCATTGTCATTAACATTACTATAATAGTTATTATTATAAATTATGACAGTGGAATGACTTTTGCTCTGCATATCTTATAACCACATATTCCGTATCTAAATAACATTTTTTTATGCATCATCCTGACATTTCTCTCTAGTGAGGAAGTTATTACGTGGCAGACGACAAATGACCGTGAAGCCAAATTAGTTCCCGCGGGATAATTTTCTTAGTTTATTTTTTTATCAAGACTGCTGGCCTAAAATTAGCATATAAATTGTCATTCATCACATAAATGACAGCCTCTTAAGTAATCTGGAAGTCGATTACCCTGGAGCGTCTTATGTGCTTGAATATTTGAATAAATTCACTTTAGTTATGTTCCTATAAACGAACTACCCATTTTTCCTCCCTATTTGCAAGCTATAAACGTCGCATAACTCAATTCGAGGTTCATTTCATATCAGTTCATTTCGGGGGAATTTCTGATACTGACACATCTTTCCAACTGAACTGCAAATCCCTGACAGAGTTATCACCAGGAAGGGAATAGGGAAATTCAATCTTTTTTTCAGATCATATAGCTATTACACACATTAATGCACCAACATGTCAGCTAAAATGTATTTCAATGTATATCTAAACGACTAAGACATCCTCCCGTGAGCCATATTAATCTTCAGCATGTACAGGATATACCGTACTTAAATCCTCGTAATGAGACATATGAGATGTTGCGAGAACTCTGAAAACAATTATTCATGCGATACCTTACTCCAGAAAAGTTCATGCAATATTTGCAGTATCAATTGAAGTTTCGTTATGTGAACTTTGCTTACACGTAGACGACTAGACAAGTGCTCAGCCACCTACGTCACCTCACCGAATTTCCCAATTCCATGAGCTTTCGTTTTTTTGTTGTTGTTTTTTCATCTGATGCTGTTAATATCTGTATTATTATTATTAGTATTGATTTGATTATTTAGAATTATCTGGCCCGTCAACAGCCAAGGTCATTAGCGGATTATTATTGGTATTGTGATTGTTATGTTTTAACATTACTAATAGCAACGGAACATTTTTTTTTCAATATGTTCTAAAAATGAAGGAAAAGGGTACACATGTGAGATAAGTGAGGCTAGTAATTCATTCCTTAGTGACTAAGCATTAGTGGAGCCATCTATGTGTAAACACAATAAATAAACTAAAATCACAGCATACACAGTTACTTGCACTCATACCTGGTACACACGCTTTTGTTAGGTAGCAGAAACTGAGCACTACGACTTGCATGGATTGGAGCATGAGGTCGCTATGATACAAAATTCGGATCAAAGCATTGAAACGTTACGCTGAAAATGAATATATTGGAATTTGTTTCTCATATACAAAATATTTAGATCACTCTACGATAAAGCTATTGTTTTTCCCCAAGCTATATATGTGTATTTCCTTGTAGAGAGTTGCTGTTGTCTACTGACTTTTCTCAGTTACTGTGTTTAGTGAGACAGGCGTGGAGAGAGATTGAGCGAGAGCAAGTGAGAAAAAAGTGAGAGTAAATGCCTGCGAGCATGTGTGTGAAACATTAGCAGATAAAGATACTGTTTCCGATAGGTCTAGCTTATATGGTCACACACAATGAGCGTGTGAACATGCGTGTAACAGTGTGAGCATGAAAGTGTGCACGGTATACCTCGTGTGTTGACGTAAATCCATAGGTAAGATCATTTGTTTATCTTAACTTTATGCACCAACCCCTCGTTACTCATTTCACAATGTATCATGACGTTTATTGAAATTCCATACAGATGTCCTCACTGGCCTACCCTGTTAGCCTCGAACACAGCCGCCCTCTCCCCCCAGCTGCTCATAAATCCCATAACCCAGCAACACATATTAAGTTATTCATAACTAATGTTGATTATAGATAACCAGTAATGGCATCCATGAATAAAAGAAAAATCCCAGACTTGGTAACTAATGTTTCTAAAGAGATTTACTCCAATTCATCAAGCGAAAGTACGAAAATGTAAACAAACACTGTCCATCGAAAACGGGTGTAGACTGCGGGCAACTGTACTTATATGTCATTGCTAGCGTCAATTGCTAGTCCTATTTATCTCACCTGTTTAACCTCTTCCTTGATTTTAGAAAATAAAATCACTGCCATTATTATTTTAATAATATGATAATTATAGAGAATGATAACAGTCAAATGCTAACTGCTGTTATTATTTTGAAGACGTTATGCTGACTATAAAGTTAAGTCAAGAATAATAATAAGAATATTGTGTGCGACAAAATTCACATTTCCCCCTTATTAAGTAAAACCGATTATAAGAATTGTGAATATATATGTGTGTATATATATATACACACACACACACACATATATTATATGTGTGTAGATAGATATATAGCTAGTTAAATACATATAAACGACATCTTTTACACGATTTCTTGGATTAATTTACTTCAACGCAGTGCGGCGCCGCTCCCCCCGATCAGGATGTCTTTGTCTTCATATTATTTTCCTACTAACCGCTCCCACGAACACCTAACGACGGCTCCCTCTCTGATGATAGACATTTAGTGCAGTATCTTAGAGTCGCTGTTGCTGCAAGAGCGAGGTGTCTGCCGCACACCTTCTAAGTGGTAAAACGTATCTACATGATTTTCTTAACTGCTGACATCCAAATAGTGGTTGTAACTGGTATAATCTTACACTGAGCTTGTAAGAAAAAAAGGACCTCGTTTTTCCAAGAAAGTCCACACAACAAGTAAGCATGTTGTTCTTTCTCCCTGTTGCCATGGTGATTTCTCAACTATCTTGCCATTACATCTAGTTCCCCAAGATACTCGCTTCGCAATTTCAGAGATTCCTTTCTCAATCGGTATTGACTGCGCTTATTCGCGTTGCATCATCTGCACTGCACGTTTCCCTCGAGTAACCTAAGATGTGGAAGATTAGGACACACACACACTATATATATGTCTCTCTCTCTCTCTCTCTCTCTTTATATATATATATATATATATATATATATATATATATATATATATATATATATATATATATATATATATATATATTTATATATTTATATATATATATATATATATATATATATATATATATATATATATATATATACATTATATATATGTATATGTATATATACATATACATATATATATATATATATATATATATATATATATATATATATATATATATATATATGTGTGTGTGTGTGTGTGTGTGTGTGTGTGTGTGTGTGTGTGTGTGTGTGTGTGTGTGTGTACATACATACATACACACACACACACACACAAATATATATATATATATGAAAAGTAAAACAGCCATAGTAAGAAATGAAAATAAATCGTTTCGAAATCTTCACGAGTTCCTCTTCAGACGATTAATAAACCGAAATGCATCTGAAGAGGAACTCGTGAAGAGTTCGAAACGTCACGATTTTTTTTATTTCTTACTGTGGATGTTTTCCTTTCCATATTTATATATATGTGTGTGTGTGTGTGTGTGTGTGTGTATTTGTGTGCTGTGCAGATATTTCATTGTGGTAAGGTAGGGATAAACTTCATTTGTATGTCTCTCTCTCTTCAAGAATAATAATAAATAATAATAATAATAACTATCATAATTATTATCAAAATAATAATGACTATCCTTACTAATATTAATAATACCATTATAAAGATAATAATGATGGTAATAATAATAATACAAAAATAATATTAGTATGGCATGTCATTAAGCAGCTGCAGCAAGTGACCTCGCTGCGTTCCGGTGGACTCTCGGTATTTATGGCCTAGGATGACCCGGATTTACACAGTTCGTGCCCAGAGCTCGTCGTGTCAAGGTCGCCACCCAGCCTTCGGCTCTTCAGGGCTGGAGGGCAGGACCACGCGACCCCGCACTCAGCGCTTACCCAGGACTCGT